ATCATTCAGTTCCTACTTCCAACCCTACCAAACTTACTCTAGTGAAGCAAAGACAAACCTGTGCCAAGAACTAAAAGACCAGACCAACTCTGTAAAAACAAGGAGCCTGTAACTCCTCCCTTGTCTTCTAAGACAAAAGAATTTCAGTGTAACACCCTGTGCGGCTTCTCCAAAGAATCCAAGCTATACTTGTACTAACACATGGCATCCCAAGGGTGGGGCTTAGATATACACTAATTCAAAGGCATCACACAGTCATAAATTTTCTGTTTACATTAGAGTTATGTTTTTGATATATCTAATCCTTTGTTTCGTTTCCAAGATGTATTTTTTAAAAAGAGCCATCAGAGAGGAATAAACTAATTGTAATGTTACATGGAGCCCAACCGGGTTGCCGCTGTTATCCCAGCAAACCTCTCTGCAATGACTCAAGGGAAAAATGAAACCCTTCATCCTACTTCTAACTGAAACTTTCCGAATAATGATCTTTCCCTCTCTGAGCCCATCTTTACTTCTCTAAAGTAAGATTTCAACCGCATGATCTCACGAGGTTCCAATCTCTGACACCCTACAGTCATCTGAGGTCTGCAGTTCCGCCACATTGCATGCCTGCTACTCCAAAACTGTTCACCAGTGTACACATTTCTAACTTCTTAGGAGTGAATTCCACTGGAGGAGTTTCATTAACTAACTCTGTGGTGTCATGAATGTACGTGTACACATCTCATGAAAACTTTGCTAAGGGCAAAATCTCCCCTAAATCCACTGCAGCCAGAAACACTGCCATCATCTACCTTAAATTTCTCCCTTAAATTACTGAGACAGCACTTGGGCAGAGCAGGGGCTACTACACATAAGTGCATTCGATTTTTGAACATGTCATCCCGCTTTCCAATTTGCTTGCTCCACATTGCTATTAGAATAACTTATTTTTCATACAAAGTATTAATTTTCCTACTCCTATCCTTTCTCATTCCTGTTATTCTAGTACCATGAACCCACGGGGTTCCCATAGCACGTGGGGCCAGGAGGACATGGCACTTCCAGTTCCATGTGGTTTTCCCTGGCACTGGGGAAAAAAAATTATATATATATATATATATATATATGGAATTATTTAAAGGAATTTAATAAAAGAATATATATATATTCCTTTAATTTTCAAAACATACTTTAAAGACATTTAAAATATATATACTTTTAAACTTAAAACTATACATATTTTTTGGTACAGGGTCTCCCTACACAGCTCGGACTTGTAGTGATCCTCCTGTTTTCGGCCTCCCCAGCACTGAGATTACAGGCAAGCACCAGTCTCAATGGCCAGCTCAGCAGCGTGCCCAAGGATGGGGCTGGCATGGCATATGGTGCTGCAGATCTAACCCTAGTCCCTGTCCTTGCCTAAGTAGGCACTTAGTCCGCTGAGTTAACTCGCCAGCCTGATATTTCTGTTATTTTATAGCTAAACCATTTTAAGACATGATGAGCCACATGGTAATGTAAAGAGCACACTGAGGCCCTAAGTTGTGTCACTCTGAATTATTTATGGCCTTAATCCTTCTGTACCATCAAGAATTACTCTACAGAAAGGTCACATGGACACCAACCTTTAATATCCCAATAACTAATTCACAGTGGGATCTCAATATATGTCCAGTGAAAGAATGGAGTGTGAAGATATGAAATTAAGATATATTGCCCAAATAGACTAGTGGACAAATAAGTGAACAGAACTAAAACTGGAAAATCTAGAAGTAGGAAGTACTTCTTTTCGTTGTTGTTGTTTCCAGGAATGGCACTCAGGACCTTGTACTTGCTGGTAAGTGCTTACGCAACCGAGCCTAAGTATTCCCAGCCTAGGGAATACTTCTTTAGGAAAATCATGATGATGCTTCAGAAAAGGATACTTTCAGGAGATCCACATTTTTCAGAACTGTTATGTGAATAGAGTGCTCCGTGACCTCTCACTGTACAAACATCCACACGGACATCATTTCCCCCACGTCTCTGAGTCAAAACAGCCTTTGAAAGGTGATTCAGAGACAGATTTGGGAAGAGCCACAACACAAACTTGACTGGGGAGAAACCCTTACCTACTGGCCTACTTCAGGGCGTTGGGTGACTCACTGGGTTTGAGTCTGAAGTTTGCCTTGGTTTAAGAATAGAAATGACAAAGATGGACATCAGCAGTCTACATTTCTAGGACTTTTCAAGTACATTTTAATTACAATACAATACAGTTTACTGTAGACATCATCTTCTTGTGGCACATATTTTTAACATTTTACGTGTGTGCTTATTATTCTCATAGCATATAATTATGTTAACCAATAAATACTAACACATCTAATTCAGCTGCACAGAGCGAAGTAATTCAGAAGGATGAGCTGTATCTCCTAATTCACTCTTCCTTTCTTAAATTAGAATAATCGACAAGAATAGACTGGATCATCCTTTAATTTTTCAGTAGAACGTTCACATTAAAAGTATATTTTATACTAATTACGAACTTACTCTATTTAGGGATATTATAATTATCTTTAAATCTCCTAAACATTTTCCTTCTTACATAAAGAAATGTTGATATTCAGGGAACACTATTACTCATAGAACTGAGTTCATACCTTTTGTCAATGATAAAGTTCTTAAAAAATAGAACCTGACACCCTCAGTCTGCTTTTAGCAATTAAACGTCAGGCACAGGCATAAACTGAAGACTCAGCTGTGCTCTCCAACAGTAGTTTTATGGTCGAAGACAAGTCACTTACCTGCTAAATCTTAGTTTCTCATCCATGAATAAGAAATAAGTGCACCATCTATACCTCAAAGACGGAAACACTGTATCTTAAGTGAAAATAGAGGTGAGAGCACCTCCCCAGGATCAAACTGCTGTCTAACTCCCAGTGATTATGAGCTTGTGTGCACAGTAAGATTGCTCAAACAATAACAGAACTGTTGAATAAAGCCATTAAAATGCAGTGGTTTAGGGAGACATGTGTAGACACACCCTTCAAGAATGAAGGGTATATTAAATGAAAACCTCACAGCATAATCTTCTCCACATACACTAGGTTATACAGTCTTAGAAGAAGGAAAATAAGATCAGACACAACCTCTACTTAAAAGAAAGAAAGCAGCAGTGCGCAGAATCTTGTGGTGAGTTGAGAGCCATCAGTGGCCCTGCTGTCCCAAAGTATTTGCTTGTGTAGCACTGCAAGGCCACTGAACATTAAATAGCAACAGCAGTGGCTTCCTGGACAATGCTTCTCAGCCCTAAATGCCTTCCCAAGCTCGCTCCAGGGTTGGCCTTGCTTCCTATGTTCCATGTTCAGAATCAACTTTAGCTCTCCTACCCGCAGCCTTTCAAGGCCTCCCATTCTCTGCTCAGAGCAGGCTGAAGTCTTTGGGGACAGACAACGTGGTATGCAAGCTATCAGTAGGAACCACGCCATCCTTAGTCTTCTTCTGCACTCCCCAGTTCAGGCCCAGGTGCTCACGGTGTGCACATAGCCTGGACCATCCTGCATGCATCTCCTTCTCCTCCTTTCTCTACAGAAGCCCTTCCATCCGCATCTGGCCAAGCATGCAACCTTCTAACTAGAGCTTGCAGGTTGCCCCACCTTCACAACAGCGTCTTACTCTCTCCTTTGCACTGGGACCACCCTGGTCCTAGTTTAACGTACACAATATTAGAGACTATCCAGTGATGAGGAACGAGTCTTCCCAGCTCCCTTCCCACCTTCTGCTTTCCTGCTCCCATCCGATCCCCCACAGGGCATGCTACACACCAGCAGCTCAGTTCATAGGGACAGGGAAGAATCACATTTTTGCCACTCACAGGGCTGGTACAGACAAGGGCAGAGACAGCTAATGAAGAACTCAAATCTAGTGCATTTTGCCTTCTACCCTGATGCCAATCCCAGGAGAGGTGTAGGAAGGATAATAATAAAGCACTGCAAGTTTGTGTGCAGTTAATTCTCAATATGACAGGAACACAGAAGCAAGAACTGGGTTTTTAAAAAAAAAAATTGTGAAAAGAACCATTGCCAATATACTAGTTGCTGCTCAAGAACTGCAGTGAAACCCAGAGTAGTGAATGTACAGTCACCTAGTCACGCAACTGTCATACAGGACTAAAACTACACAGCAACAAAAGCACGTGTCCCATTGCTTTACAGCTAAAGTTCTGATGGCCATCATCTTAGACAGAGGAGCCCTGAAAAGATTTTCTTTGATGCTCTTAAGACCTCAGGGCAGGAGGGAAGGATCAACAAGAGTGGAGTATCAGCTTTCCAACATGAAGGTAATAAACTAAGATGTAGACAAATATCCAAGCTCCAAAGTAAACAAAAAACTGCAGGAAAAGCTGGTGACAAGGCACTACTTGCATTTAAACACACAGAATAACTGCTGTCACATACTTGTGACGAATCTGAGGAGAAACTGATATATTCAAACTGCAGATGCCAGTGTAAACTATGCGAAGCTTCGGAAAGCAAAGAACGTAGTTGTACTCCTCAATGTCAGCATCCACTGGTAGAAGTCTGAGAGTAGGAGACAGCTCCAAAGAAAATAAACATGAATGTGGCTCTTATACCACTACTCAGGACAGCAACAACAAAATTGGGAACCACCTCAGCGTATAACACAGGAGTATTCTTTACCTTAGACCTTCACCTTAGAATCCTTCGCCTTACCCTTAGTTACTGTAAATTATATTTGTGGGTATTCTAACAATATGTAGCCAAATATCCTAATAGACAAGGCCAGAAAAGGAGGAGAGTAACGCAATAAGAAAAGATTTAATTTGAATAAGATTTTTGTCTAGTAATATTCTTGTAAAGTAAATCACTCATAAAATCAATTTCAGAAGTTTCTGCCACTCAACAGCACATGTTGATATTACATAAAAAGGTAATTTAGACCAAGATTAAAGGAGGATGGAGGAAGCTTAGCATGCATGGCTGGTCACGCAGAGAGCCACACTGGGTGGCACTGACCTGCAGAGGCCGAGGCTTGTAGGGAGAAGTGGACTCGAGGTCAGCCAAGATACTCGTCAAGGAGTCGATCTCAGCGTCCAGGCTTGAGCGTCTCTCCTCAAGGGTCTTCCCTCCGGGATTTGTCTGGGAGAAACAACACACGTGCATTAAAAATAAATACCATATTCATGTAATTTATGAAAAGAATTACAAGTTCCAATTTAAGTACACTCTGGCTATTTAAGTTCTTCTGCGTATCACTTTTTATAAAAGCGCTCATAACGTGTAGGTAGAACTATCCCTTTTTGATTAAAAAAAAAAAAGCTGAAAAACAGGAGGAGCTCATTCTAAGGTTATAGCTCTAGTCAGATACTTCTCTGATGAAAATACAACAAAAAGAAAATAAATGCTTCCCTCGCAGCCCTTAAGGGACAAAAGCCACCTAGGGCACATCGCAGGATCACAGTATACAGAAAGCTCTGGACAGAACAATGATGCTGTCTTCGAGCAGCAGCTGAAAAAGAAGGGCGATGGGTAGACCAGAAAGAAAACTCAGCAAGAACTATTATTTCTATGTGAGAAGAAGATAACATACCAACATCAGCTTATGCAAAGCACACAAGAGAAAGAGATGAGTCAGAGCTCGGGCCACGGAGACACTAAGGACGGAGCTGGGCCACGTCTCCATGCCTCCTGTGTCAATGCCCACGGATCCTGCGTCTGGAGCCAGTTATCAGAAAGCGGAGCCCACCTGCAGAAAACAGTGCAGTGCTCGGGAAAACAAGCGAACAACTTTCCTGAAGTTGGAGGGAAGGAGATAGAAAGGGAGGTGGCCCCAGGATTGGAAACGGTGAAAGAAAAAGTCTTTTAGGCTGACAATGCAGGAACGGTCATCTATGTACAGTACAAAAGTCTCTTAAGATTCCATCAAGACACCAGGGTATATTTTAAGCAAGCCAAAACTGGAATGAAATCATGGGTATTTACTGTAATCTTATTAACTCTATTGGGCTCGTCAAGGAAGGACAAATATCAGGAGCTTGTCTGATATCAGCAAGAGCTTAGAAAACACATTAGCCAAGAAACTAGGATATCTTTAGTAACAACAAAAATAGGCTGCCCTGATGGACTAACATTAAATCTCACCTCACGAGGTAACCTGTCTTTTTAGTGAATATGTGACAACAGGCATCGCATTCAGACCACCAGTTCCCTTGTGCCCGAGTCCTCGCTCACCAAGACTTTCTCTGAGTCTGGTTTAAGCATGCACACAAAAGCCCTAAATGGGACCTGTCACATGCACCAGCCTCCTGTGGCTCCAGCCAGCATGCACTTATCCCCCCACCCCCTCCCCGTGCTATGACTCCCTCCAGGCACCCTGACAGAACCGGCATGGAGGAAGCTGTGACCCAAGCCCTGAAGCCAAGCCTCGATCACCACTGTCTACCTCAGCCATTCCATATTCTGGCTTGCGAGCCACCTGTCAACACGGGGACCTCTGATCACATCATCTACAGTATCCTGCTCATGATTTTCTGCATGTCATTCTTCTGTGTCACTCTATCATTTTAATCTATTTTACTTTTCAAGTGGTATCTAGCAATATTGGCATCTAGAAACTACATCTTATCTACATTTGTCCATTTATGGCCAACCTCTGCCCTAGGACAATGCAAATATTGTCACAGCAAAGTTTTACTCCTTGGTGCATCTTCAAAATCTTGGTCATTCAGGACCTGACTCAGGTAAAGCTTCACTAAGTATTTTCAATCTTTCTTTCCTGTCTCTCTCTCTCTCTCTCTCTCTCTCTCTCTCTCTCTCTCTCTCTCTCTCTCTCTCTCTCTCTCTCTCCCCCTCCCTCCCTTCTCCCTCCCTCTGGTACAGGGTCTCACTGCACAGCTCAGACCTGTAGTGATACTCCTGTCTCAACAGGTGGTATTTCTCTTAGACTATAAAGTTTCCTGTCTTACTAAACTTTTAAGGTCAGTGGGACTTACAGGCACTCCCCACCATGCCCAATTTTGGTGGCTGGCATTGAACAGCACAGCATGCGGTCCCAGGGATTGTACCCATTTCCTTGCACTTGCCAGGCAGGCACTGAGACCGCTGAGCCATCTCTCCAGTTTCGCTAAGTATTTTTGAGTCAATAAATTAAATAAGAAGGACTTTGTCATAGGTGAAGTCAGTAATCATTTTCTCATCAATAGTTTTTGGGTGAAAGGAACTGCAGATACAAGAGGAAGCCAGGGATACTCACACATATGATATAAAGGGCAGTCAGAAAGGCTATGTGTGTGCACACACGTGAGTATGTGGGTGTGTAAGGGCTAGGTGGCCTCAATGTCAAGTACACACTCCTGCAAGTGTGAGTTCTTCCTCAATTTGCTGTGAAAAATAAAAATGTACTGCTACACTGAAGTTTGTACTCTTCCTAGACTATCAAGTTTCCTGCCCTGCTAAACGTTTAAGGTCAGTGGGGCTTTTTCTGCGCAATGGATTTGTTCAGGGTCTCAGTGCTTCTACCACAGAACACTGCATCTGTACTGCAAGGGCCCTGCAGCTATGAAAGGGGCCGGGTGCAGCTCAGGGGCTGAGAGGAGTTCCCTAGAGTCCTTGTCTGTTGTCTGTGAGGCATCCATCCACAGCATCATTCTGGGAAGGAAGGAAGGAAGGAAGGAAGGAAGGAAGGAAGGAAGGA